GAAATTGGAGTAACAGTATAAAACCAACCAGATTTGGTTCAGTAAAATAAAAATCAAAAAAATATGTCAATGCAAAGTGGCAAAACTCTGGTCAAGCAGGCATTCAACAGAAAAGGAGTCATGAAAGAGGCATTGGAGAGGACACAGCTGCTGCAAAATAAGGCAAATCTGATTCTGGGGCGTATGAACAAGAGTGAAACATCACAAGCAATGATTCCACTCTAACAAGGAAATACCAGGTGTGGGTCTGGATGCTGTGATAGGAGAAGGTAGAAATGTCATAGACAAATTATACAGGAGCTGGAGGAAAGCAATGAGAATTATGAGTGGTTCAAAAAAAAATGGAGGCTCTTCTTTGCTTTTTCCAGAAGGGAAAAAAACCATGTGAGAAAATGAAAACTGCCTTCTAAGGCAGTGGAGACTTATAGAAAGGTTATTGACAATTGTTCTGGGTCCCACAAAATGAACTGGAAAAGATTGCTGTTACTGGATATCTGGGAAAGAAGAAAATGAAAACCCTACAAATCAAACCCAAAAGCTTTCTAATTCAAAGCAAATTTATATGAATTAAAATATCTAAATCGATTTGTAAGTATTCCTCTCTGGGTGTTAATTAGCTTCTCTCAGGGATGTCAGAAGCCTGCTCAAGGCACTGAGGAGAATTGGTGGTATTTCTCCATCTCCCCTGTTCCATGACTGTCTCCTCAAGGCTTGACAGTGCTTCCATCTTCCCCACGCCTGGCCAGAATGTGAAATATCGATGCAAATCCCGTGTTTGCACTTTAGCAGAGCTTCAAACACTCCGTTGGTGTTAATTAATTATCCAACAACAGCAGGAAGCCAGCGACACCAAACGCAGCACAGAGCTTCCCTGACCAATAACAAAAGCAATCCTTCCTCCTGTGCACTGCAGAGCTCCACCAATTCTCTTCCCTAGTGCACCACAAGCAGAATGAAGAGTCTCCTTTTCTGCAGACTTCCCACAGACAGCTCGTGGCTGCTGGGATGAATGTGGTGCTGAGGTCCTCACTCCTGAAAGCTCCAAAAATTCGGGAGCGTGCCGGAGGGCAAAGCAGCCGTGCAAAAACACAGATTGCATGCCAGGGAAACAGTGTGTTCCTCACTTTTCCCTAAAAAGGAACATCTAATTTGTGAATAAAGGAATAATATGTGGATAAAGTTTGCCAGAAGTGTTGTTCAAGAGGAGCAGGTGGTGAGGAAAAAGGAGGAGGACGTTTGCAGGCTATATTCCTATCTGGAAGAAATATACTTTCTCTGAACTCTAAGAAGATTATGAAACAATCTGCTGGATGTCTCTGGGTAGTGATAAAGGAAAAGAGAAATCAAACAAAACCAGGAGCAGTCTCATGGTAGAGTCCATTGTACTTCAACTAATGAAAAAAAAAAAAAAAGAGATATAGGAGCATGTTTTTTGAAAAAGAAAGCAATTATGTGATGAACAAGTGCTGGTGGACCTGAAGGAAAATGGTACGTCAAGGATATTGTGAATTTTAAAGTGAGAAAAAAGAGAGAAGGAAAAAAAAAAGGAAAAGAGACTAAAAAGACAAGAGGAGGAACTTTAGATTTTGTCTGCTGCTCAGCACAGCCCTCAGGGTCTTTGGGAATTTTCTGTTACTCTGAACATGTTGCCTTCTTCCCTCTTTAGACTAACACCAAGTTCTGAACGATCACATGGCAGGGATGGGTTTTTGTGGGCATCTTTTTTCTGGCAAAGCACTTAGCTTTCTCCATAAAAGTAGCATGACTGAAGACTGAACTTCTCAGTGTAGATGTGCAGCATGAATTTGAGGAGAGAAAGATATCCATCTACATTTTTAGAGAGGGCTACTAGTCAGTTCAGCTGATCAGGCAGCACGGAGAGACCCAAGTGCCATGAATTTGTTGCTGTATTTTACCTTGAATATTTAACAAAGGCATGGTACCAAAGGCTTTCAACTTAAATATCACTTTATGGATTTTATATGATGCTCACAGCCATGACTGTAGGCTGATCCCCGTTCATCAGCAACTAAATAATTCCTGTTTCCAGGAGGATGATACAGAGACCAAGAATTCAATAATGTGTATTTGGCAAATTTTGATGGTCCTTAAAGGTGGGACCCCTTCATTCACTGGGGAGATAAGGTGTGAAATCAATGTTCATACGGTCTTTGCATTCTCTGCTCGGTCGCTGGGGTGGCTGCAGCTTCTGCACTTCTCATGCTGCTGAAGAGGTGGATGAGGAAATGATCAGAGCGGGTCGGATGTGGTTAAAGCCTCAGTTTGCTAACTGGGGCTAATGTGAGGGAAGCATATCTCACATCCATTAAGGCCTCCAGCAATCACCTCCCACGAAGGTGAAGGAGCGGTGGAGAAGGAATTGTGACTTCCTGAGTCCCAGCGGCTCCTAGAGCTGTTCCTGTTAATATTCAATTATGTGCTGCCCTGGACTTAGAGCAGCTTAGAGCTGAACTACGTCTCACTCCAGCCCCGAGGCTTAGCTGCAGCAAACACAGCTGCAGGAGGCTGAGCCACGGAGAGAAACAGCCCCAAAACGGGGTTATCACACCTCCAGCTGCCTGTGCAGAACCAGCGCGTAGGAGGAACTGCTCTGTCCACCTCTGCCCTCTCCACCTCCCTTCTCCAGGCTGGGAGACTTTGGGGAGCTGGTTATTCTGTGAGCTGTGGCCAGGGTCATCAGACTCTCTCCCCTATTTTTTACCCTGGATGCACCAATTGACCACAGAAAGCTCTGCATGCGCTTCCTCTGCATCTCACACCACGCAGCTTTTGCTGTGGCTTTTCCTTCATCTCATTCCCACCCCCTCCTGAAGTGTGTCCCATCCTCATTGACCCACCCACCCTCTGATAAGCCCCTTCCACTTCCAGATCATGGTATTAACTTGACATTTGCAAAAGGTCACTGTGTTTGCTCTGCCTGAGTGTTACATTGCTCACTCTTTTGTTGTTCTGTTTTGTAAGCTCTTCAAGGCAGAGGTTATCTCCTTGGATGTGACTACACAGCGGCCAGGAGAATGAGGCCTCTGGTCTCAGCTGGTCTAACAGCTAAACCAGAAATAATTTGGTCATCAATGGGGAGGCTGGCTCCAATTTTATAGATTATTCATCAGAGGATAATGAATCTTAATTTACATGCAAAAACCTTCCTTCCAGAAGAGGTCCATAAAGAGGATCACAACTAATATCTTAATTTCCAAGACTACCAGCATCAGATCCTTGCTGTATTTCCAGGAGTCCATTCAGACCACGTGATATTGCTGGAGCATATGCCATTTGCTGCAGGAACAAATGTGGGACATAAGGGAGGTGACACACAATACATACTTGGTGCATCCAGTTTATGCAGATGAAGTCCTGGCTTTTTTTAGCCTGGAGTTTGTCACGCTGGAGCTGTTTGTTGCATCAAACTAATTGCAATGGAGATGAGTGCATATGGTACATGCAGCGTCAGGGTGTCCCCCCTCCGGTGGCTGCTCCCAGCGAGATGTGGTGGAGAAAGGACACATAAATTAATTCTTTGCTCTCAGGTGAGAATGGATCTGATCCTGTCTGCAGTCCTAACCTGACCAGCATTCCCTGAGGTAGAGATGCAGGGCTGGAGCTCTCCCATCTCCATTAGGCAACCAGGAGGGCTCCAGCCAAGGTAGAGACCCAGAACTAGCCATGAGCAGACACCCTAGGCTTGGCTCTTCTCAAATATAAACCAATTCTGAACCTCAGCTACAGCCAGGCTATGCCAGAAAGGAAGATGGGAGAGTGGGGCTGTCAGATGCAGTAACCTGAAGCCTGTGGTTGAGGCTGCTCTTCACCTGATGTTGGCATTGCAGAGGAAACACATCCACACTTGGAAGAGGTGCGGGTGGGGGATCTTGGCCTTTAGCTCTAGTGCCAAGAGCAGCATGGCACCAGACTGACAGCTGTGCTGGCTCTGGAACAGCCTGACCTGCTCCTCTGCCATGGTTTGTTTTGAGCCTGACACAAAAGCTAAATCATTCCCACAAACAACGTTCAGCCATTCCCAGGTATTAGCTTTTCTCTTGCTTATAGTGATACTACTTAAATTTTATTATTTTGCCTTGAAAACAGCTCATTCCCTGAGTTAGCCCAGTTCCTCTGCTTCCCCCTGATATCCCTTGCCAGCCAGACAAAACTGTACTAGGCAGGATAGAGCAGCGCCGTGGCTCACAGTCACTGCACAGAGATTAATTGCCTGCCACGGGTGGGTTGGTGGCTGGAAGGTGGATGCCAGCCTGGAGGCGTTAGGGCTGAGTTCTGCTTCAATTCCTGATCCCAGTCTCTCCCTCCTGCCCGCGTGCACCTTGCAGAAATATAACTGAGTTTGAAGTATCTGTTTCCTCCCAAATTCATCTGGAATCCATTAATGGGTTCAGAAGCTTTTGGGAGAGGGGGATGGACACTTACCTGCACAGAAAAGCAGCGCAGCAGAACCTTTATTTCCTTAGGGAGGTAGCCTAAAGAAATATTAGCATTTATTCTCATCTGTTGCTGAGCTTACGACCCACACAAATAACAGGGAATAGCGAGCGAGCAGCCGGCTGCAGAATGGGAACAGGGAAAATGACTCAGCAAGCTTGGCACCAATCTGGAGAAAATGCAGGTACATTATAACCTTGCTTGAGCATCAATCTCATCCGTGACATGACGTAGAAACAGCAGCCAGTGTAGATATTTGGATCTGATGGAAACATTCCTTCTGATAAATGATTTAGCTCTGCTCTTGCAAGTAGTTACATCCAGGAGCTGAGCAGGTGAGAAGCTGCCTTCATATATGCCAGCAAAGGAGAGAAAAAGTTCAGTGAAAACCTCTCACAGCTTTATAAATATGTTTTTTTTTCTTCTGCTATCAGTTGACAAATAGCTGCTGAATTATAGTTTCATGCTTTGTTCATGTCATTTTCCCTAAGAACAGCATTTCCTGCTACATCACCTTAGAAACTCGATCAACAAACACTCCGCTCTACACGTAAACAAAGCTTTATTTTACCCCATTTTTGACAGCAGACAGCATTTTAGAAACCAGAACATTTCAGGTTCTCTGGGCTATTTGCCTCAATTTCACAATCTGGTTTTGGTTTTGAGGGCCTGTCAGCATTGTTTATACCTATATCTGTTGGAGTGGTGATGTTTTCGTGTGAGTGGCAAGGAAAATATATTGCTGCAAATTGCTCTCTGGAATCAGACTTTTTTTCTCTCGAGAGTCTAAATGAAACTGCACTTTCTAACACGTGGGAACTAAAGAGTGAAATGAATATGAAAGAGAAGTGAAACAAGAAAATTCAGTGTCAACAACAAAAATGAACCAAAAAAAAAAAGCAAAGACAACTCTGAGAATTAATCAGGACCACCTTCAAGACTCAAGCTCCAATAAAATTCAGGAGTGCTATCTACAACAGAGTACCTGAAGAACTTTGCAGTCAACTTTAGCCATTTCCTTGTGTAATAACATCAGATCTTGTCCTGACCTCATGACAAGGTCTTTCTTTTTTACTGTGGAAAAACAAGATCAGAGCCCTATAAAGTTTTCTTTCTTGGTTTCACTAGATGAACATTTCCCAGGTAGCTGCTTTGAACAAACATATTAATACAACAGCAAACAGAAGATTTTATCTGGCAGTTTTTTAAAACCTGTACAGGAGCCCCGGCTACTGAGCCTCCTGTGATCTGCCACCACACAGAGTCCATCAGTTAGGGATTAATTTTAAGGCAGATATTAAAGCTTACCACATGATCAAGGATTTTCCTATACGTGGACTTCAATGGGATGCTTTAAATCCTGTGTGTGCTCGTGGATATGCACGTGTATGTGCACGCTGTTGTTTATTCATGGGCAGAAACAGCCTCAGGCTTCTTCAGGCCTTTCCAAGGAAAATAAATTTGGGAGAGGGGACAGAGAGAGAGAGAAGAGTCATCTTTAAACTTTACAATTTTGAAAGCAAGTTTTTGAAGGAGACAGGCTGAGGGGGAGAGAGCCAAGATCGTAAAGATTTTATAACTAACAACATTTTTTAAGAGGAGACAGAATCTCCGCTCTTTTTTAGTGCGAGATCTTGCAATAATTTAAAGCAAATTTGGAAAATAGCTCTCTTTTGACAGAAATGCTTCATTTTCCTGTTCTGCTGGGCTGTAACCTAAAGCGTCTTGGCTCGAGAAAATGAAATAAAGCCGAGCGATGATGCTCTGTCACTGCTGCTGCCGCCACTCTGCCTCCTGCAAATCTCCCAAAATCGTGCACAGCTCTCCAGGTCAGAGCCCGGGAAGACAGTGGTGCCTTCTCCTTGCAGGCTCAATCCTGCATCAGACAAACTTACCCCGGGCTTTGTAAAACACAGCTGGGGTTTGCAGCGAGCGGCTCTGCCCGAGGTGCTGCTTCCAAGGGTTGGTGTGGAGAGGAAACTCTTCCCATGACACAGCAGAACAGCAACAGCAGCAGCAGCAGAGTTAAAACAGATCAGTTCTGGCAGTATTCCTAAAAGACTACTTTAAATCCTAGCTCCAGCCTCTTCCTCCTTTAAGCATGATCTGAAGAAGGGAATATGGAATAAAAAGAGGCTCAGTGAGGCAGGGAAATGAGGCCCAGACATATGGGAAGCATGGCAAATTGTAGTTGGGCTCCACAGCAGTGGGACAGCCTGGATAAATGACAGAAAGGAGACCAGAGAGGAAATTCCCCCAAAATTGGATGAGAAGGAGGTATAAACATAAACACTGTGGAGGGTGGAAGAAGGGAAGACTCTGAGAAGAAGTGAGGAAAGGAGGATGAACTGCTCCTCACTTCATCAACACTTTTCAGCTAAAATCATTAGTAATTTTTACAAAACTAAAAAAAAAATTCAAAAATGAAAAATTAAAAATCTGAAACACTGATCTGTTAGATATACAGCTCATTGCATGGGCACTGGAAATGAGTGGGGCAGACACAGGTATTTCAAGTCCAAAGCACAAATGGGAGAGCTGATGAAGATGATCCACTGTTACTGCAGGATTGGGCCTGGGGTGGGTGGCCAGGCGGCTCTGGTCCCCTCCTGTGGCTGACAGCCATCAGTACCAACCCAGCAGTTAGAAAAAAGTCATTTATATGAATCCCTTCAAGAAAACGTGGTGGGACACTGAAGAAATCAAATCCCCAGATAAAAATTTACTCCATCTGTGGATCGTGGCTTTTTAATCTGCTGGGGGGCTGCTGGAAGCTGTAAAGAAGGAGTGAATGCGGGATTGCTTTTCCTCCTTAAGTTTTAAACAACAAATCTATGTCTCCCCCTCTCAATCTGGCCCCTAAAGCCTTGCACTTGATCACCAACACTGACATGATGCCACCAGTTTGGGAGCAGAATTTGGGGCCCTCCTGCACGAACCTTCCAGAGGGAAAACCCCGAGAACCCCCTGCACATTGTCAGCCAGGCGGTGGGAGCGTGGAGAGGGTGAGCTTCAGCTCCCCGATCTCAACCAAATCCTGGGGGCTGGTGGAGAGCAGGGAATAAAACCCACTTCAGCACCGCAGGCGGAACAGCAGCCGGAGGAGCGCGGCGCTGCCGCCGGCCGGCCCCGCACCCGCCGGGCAGCGGGATGCGCGGGGGAACCGGGGGCTGCCCGAACCGCGGAGAATTGTCGGCATCTTCTCTTTTCCTTTCCGTGAGGGCTGGCTGCTCGCTGGCAGCGTTGCAGTGGCCAGCGCACATCCCTAGGAGCGGCTCCTTCCAGCAGCTCGGCACAGAGCCCCGGCTGTCGGGAGCCGGCGGTGCGACGGGTCGGGACGGTGAAATCGCTTCGCTACCGAGTGGCGGAGTTAAACGCGGCGGTAGCGACAACCGCATCGACCCCGCACGGGCAGAACCGTTCACATCTGCTCCTCCTCAGTCCGAGACAAACAAAGGTTTTTTTACGCCTTATTTCTTTTATTTTTATTTTGGTTGTTTTGGATTTTTTTTTTTTTTGGTGCTGTTTTTCTGCCTCTTCCAGCATCGGAGACACGCCGCGGCCGCGGAGGAGCGCCGGATCCCGCAGCCTCCAGGAGCGGATTCCATCCTTCCGCACGGTGCCTGCCCGGCCGGTTATTCCTTTCTGCAAAAAGAGAAGGGGAAAAAAAAAAAAAAAAAAAAAAAAAAAAAACAAACACTAAAATCCAAACATCAAACAAACCCCTAATAAATAATAATAGAAGAGGCAAGCGCAGCAACTTGCTTTAAGCAGAGGGTGGTAGGACCAAGAAGCGCAGCCCCCCGGAGAGAGAAGGGAGGTAGCGGAGGGAGGGCAAGCGGGCACCGACGGGACTCGCAGCCCCCCGGGGGTACCGGCGGGTCCGGCGGCGGCGGACGTGAAAGTCCCCTTTAAGTTTCCATAGAGAGGCCTCCGGGTGTCACATGATGGACATGATATAACGAAACAACATCGTGGGGAGGGACGGAGGGAAGCAGTGGGGGAGCCCGGGGAGGCGTCGGGGGAGGTGGCGGTGCCCCCCGACCCGCCCGCCCCGGCTGCACCTGTCTCGGCGCGCCGGGAGCGCGGTGTCCGCCCCGCTGATGGGGCTGCGGGCGGCACCTTCCCCCGGGGAGGAGGAGAAGGAGGAGGAGAAGGAGGCGAGCCGGTGGCGGAGGTAAGTTACCGGCGGGACCGGGGCGGGGGGCGCGGGGCGCGGGCGCGGTGTGTGCGCCGAGGGGTTGCGGGGTGTGTGTGTGCGGGGTGTCCGCGGTCTCCCCGCGGAGCGCCGGGCGTGTGCGCGCCCTCCCGCCCTCCATGTCCGCATTCCAGCTCATGTTGCGCAGATAAAATTCAAACTTGAGGTAAACACAAGCGGCGGGGGGGGGCGGACGGGGAACTGGGGGGGAGGGAGGCTCGCTCCATCCCGGCTCCATCCCGGTTCCATCCCGGCTCCTGCCGCCCCCTCCCCGCCGCTCCTCCCGCTCCGCACCCGCGGAGCCCCCGCGCACCTGGGGGAACGCCGGCATCGCGGTGCTTCCCCCGGGGAGGGAGAACCGAGCGTCCCTTTCCCCGCAGCCCCGGTAGGACACGGCGGGTCGGGGGCGGGGGGGGCGCGGCGCGGCAGGTGCGCGGGGCGCTGTCGCGACATGGCGGGGTTGGGGGGGGGTGTGTGCGTCGCGACATGGGGGAAGCAGCCAAGTGACAGCGCGGAGTGGTGGTGGGGGGGGGGAGAAAGAACGGGGCTGCGCCGCGTTGTTTTCCTCCGTGTTGCGTGGGTATCCCGATTAGAGCGGGAATAACAGCGGTGCCCCCCCGATCCCGCTTTTCTCCATACGCATTTCCAAGTGCGTATGGAGAAAACAAGATGCGGAGCGGGGCGGGCCGGGGGGGGGAGGCGGGGAGGGCCGCACTGCCGTTCGCAGCCCCGGTCCGTGGCACAGGCGGTGCCGCCGCGGGGATATTTAAGCGCTTTAAGCGGGGCGATGATGGAGGCGGCCGAGGGCGCCCCACAGGTGGGTGCGTGCAGGGAGAGGGGCCGAAGCGCTGGTCGTGTGGGGAGCGCCAGAGCGGTCCCGCACTCCGCGGAGTGGCGGCGGGAGGCGCTGCCGGGGCTGAGAGTGAAGTGGGGTGCGGGGACGAGAGCCGGCAGCCGCGGGTTGCTGAGTGGCGCAGCTCCGGGTGGCGGGAGCGGTGCGGGGGTGACGGCGGTGCCGCCATGGCGGGTGTGAGGGAGCGGCGCCCTCAGGGGGGTCCCGCGGCCCCGCCGAGGGCGGGAAAAGCGCGCGCGGCCCCCGCCTGGCGCCTCCTCAGCACTGCACCAAGGCGGCGGGCGGGGGGGGGGGGGAGCGAGCGGGGGGGGGGGAGGTGGCGGCCACGCCCACCGCGCCCCCCCGCCGGCCAATCGGCGGGGCGGCGCGGCGGGGACACGCCCCCTCCGGCGCGCTCCGCGACCTCCCGACCAATCGCAGCGCAGCGCGGCCCCCCCTCCTTGGCCCCCCTTCGCCCACCCGCCTGTTTGTTACGGTCGGGGCCACGTGCCGGCGCCTCGGGCCGGTCACGTGGCCCCCGGGGCCGGGGAGTCTGACGGGGACCGTGGGGTCTGACTGGGACCGTGGGGTCGGACTGGGACCGTGGGGTCCTGAGCTCTCCTGTCTGTGGGGTCTGACAGGGACCGTGGGGTCGGACTGGGACCGTGGGGTCCGGAGCTCTCCTGTCCGTGGGGTCTGATAGGGACCGTGGGGTCCGGAGCTCTCCAGTCCGTGGGGTCTGATGGAGACCGTGGGGTCTGACGGGGACCGTGGGGTCCGGAGCTCTCCTGTCCGTGGGGTCTGACGGGGACCGTGGGGTCCGGAGCTCTCCTGTCCATGGGGTCTGACAGGGACCGTGGGGTCCGGAGCTCTGCTGTCCATGGGGTCTGACTGGGACCGTGGGGTCCGAAGCTCTGCTGTCCTTGGGGGTCTGATAGGGACCGTGGGGACCTGGAGCTCTCGTGCCTTAGGGGGTGGGAGTGTCAGATGGGGACCTGGAGATGTCCTGCCTATGGGATCTGATACGATGACACTGGGGGGCCTGGAGCCTTCCTGTCCAGGGGGGGAGTCTGATTTGGAACAGGGGGTCTGTGGCTGTCCTGTCCATGGGGTCTGATGGAGAACAGGGGGTCTGCAGCTGTCCTGTCCATAGGGTCTGATGGAGAACAGGGGGTCTGCAGCTGTCCTGTCCATGGGGTCTGATTTGGAACAGTGGGTCTGCAGCTGTCCTGTCTATGGGGTCTGATGGGGAACAGAACTGGCTGCCAGCTTGGGAGTATCCTGATGTCCCCCAGCCCAGAGGAGTCTGACTGGACCTGACTCTGGCTACCTGCCCAGGGAGCCTGAATCCCCCCTGCCCAGGGAATGTGGCCAGGACCCTCTTGCCATTGCCCCCAGGCCCTTGCTCTCCATGAGCATCCATGCGGCCCTGGCCCCATTAAACCTTCTCCGAAGGGCCTGTCCCTGGCTGCTGTTCCTGTCATGGCCGAATCGTGACAGCCTGTCCGTGGCTGGCTCTGGCCTCCAGAGAGGGAGGTGTTTCTCTTCCGAGGAGAGCTGTTTATGCCCAGTGATTTTTTTTTTTCTATTTTTTTTATTTCTTTCCCCTCCCTCCGTGCTCTCCACAGCAGCAGCTCGGTGTCTGCCCAGCCGGCAGTGTTACGGCATGGCTCCTATGTAGGTGAAGCTGGGGAACGCTGCAAGGATCATGTGGAGCTCTCAGTCTCCTGAGCCTGGAGCTTTGAGCCTATTTATAGGTGGGTTGGGCAGTGTTCCGTGTGAAGGGCTTGCTCCACGTTCGAATCCGTGGCAAAACGAGGTGTCTTAACCGACGGTGTTTTGGTTTTGGGTGGTTGTTCTGGGAATGGGGTTTTACAAAAGGCTCTGGAGCACGGGTTGTTAGTAGGTTATGTGGAGAAAGGTGAGTCAGTTTGGAGTTAAGGAACGTGATGCCATTTTAATGCAACTTCTCGGGTGGCAGAGCAAACAGTAAGGGGATACTCGGTTCTAGATCAGCAGCTTTCGGCTTTGCAGGCAATAGACAACTCAGGGTCACTGAGAAGCCACAGAGGAAAGGACATCGTGTTTTCTGTAGGCTTGTGCTCATTGTACTGTTTTCTGCACTGCTAAAGATTTTGTGGCCGACAAGCTGAAAAAAAAATATGGAAATCCACTTTTCTAGATCCTGAGATGTTTTGGGTTAGAATAAGTGGAGGAGAGGTGGGGAAAGAACCCTCAACTGTGTGTTTTGTTGCGTATGTTTCTATTGTAGAGCTTAAAAATGTAAAATTCAGTGTGTTTTTAAGAGTTACATAACCTTTAGTAACGTGGTGAGTCTCAAGTAGCCTTCGAGAGTTAAATAACAGCAGATCAACGAGACTGGGTTGAGAAGAGGAAGAGAGGGTTTTATAACGATGAGGACTATACACAGATATTTAAAACTGCTCTGGTGTTGCACTAGAAACAAATCTTTGCTTAGGAGGAGGAGGTTTTTAATACCCTATAAATACGGAACATGAGAAGGAGGATGGAAAGATGAGGTTTGCAGTTTTATACTGCTCCAGTCCGGTAAACGGATCAGGAATAGTTTATGATATTTAACATTCTTCAGCTTCTCTTCCATCTTGACTTTTCCAGTACAATTTTTTGCAATCTGTAGCGATGACAACTTCCAGATATTGACCACTGTGGGTGAGGAAGGAAATCTGGCCTTAATATAACAAGAAATTACAGAAAGGAGTGAGGGGCACTGTAGTGGTGAAAGAATTGGGGTGGTGACACATGTCCTGAGAGAGCGCTGGTGCTTTGTGTTGGTTACAGGAGTAATTCGACACGGTGTTACCTACAGAAAGATGTTTATTCAGCTGAGGTGGTTCGTGCTGGCATATCAGTGTTATCTTTGTATTTTTTTTGTGGGGGGGAGGAGGGAAATAGCCCTGCCTTAGTAGAGGAAATTGCTGGGGAGCAGTTGACGTGCTGGAGATGTGAGGATACCTGGAGGTGTGCAGCGTGCCAGCACCTTGGAATTAGGAGCGTACCTGGAAGTGCTGGCGTGGAATTGATGCACCAGGAAATTGCTTTCTCTATTTTTGTTGGTGAGATGCAGTTAAAGTAAAACGAGCCCTTTGGATCTCCTATCCCATTTCTCTTTAATATAACTAAGATCATTTATCTTCTCAGGCGGTGAAAAGGGGAAAAAAATACTTTTGTTTTGTAATTTGGTTCACCTTCTCTTCATTTGCTGTCAGCTCATGACAAGGCACAATGTGTGCTGCACACTGTGTTCCACTGAGGTGTTTTGGTGACAAACACAACTTATATTAAAAAAAGGGCTATGAAAAATAGGTATTGTGCTAGTTCTCTCCACTTTTAAATAGAAACAATCCCCATTTTTCTTTAAGGTTCACAAAAAGTATCATATTAGGGTCTTATGCCTTGTCAGCTTCAGTGGCAAAAAGGTCGATGTTTTGGTCTTTTTAATTATTCAAAAGGGAACTGAAAAGGAAATATTTACATTAGTGTTTGTATTGGTTTTGCAGTAGGAAGTAGTAAAACATTTTGTCAGTTTTAATAAAAAGGGAAATTGTGAACGTACTTCAAAATTGTGATTGTTTATGCTGTATGAGTCTGTTATATTGTTAAAATTAAGAGGATTTCTTTAATCCAAGCTACATTCTAATTGTTGTAATCACGTGTTTACTATATTTCTTTTGTATTTATAAATAAAAACACAGAATCTTGTCTTTTTGACCTCGTGTATAGCATGACTGGCTGTAGTTCATGCCATATTTGCACGTTTTTTTCCATAAACATCTTGCTCCTGGAATTATTAGCAACGCCAGAATAAGAGCTTAAAAATACTGTCACATAAAGGGTTAGAGCACTTGCAAACAAGAATGCTGAAATTCAAAGTTAAAAAAAAAAACAACCTCTCCCCGGCAATTCTTTCAAGTCAGTTTGATGATAATTTTGGTTTTCTAAATGGCTGGAGATGGAATTAATGGGGTTGCAACTCTTTGTCATGAATTTCAGCATAAACAATATTTTGCTTTTGGCTTTGGGTTTCATGCAAATGCAGGAAAAATCCCCTGTCCTTTTCCAGTCCCTCAGGATGCTGCACCTCAGCCAGCAGACGTAGTGTTGTTGTCTTAACAGCGAGGCTGGAAATGGGAGTTGTTTGTGCTGAGTTTTACCCTTACCAAGGTCAGAGATTTCATCCTTCCGTAGATTCCTGATCTGGGAATTTTAACACTTACAGTGGGTCCTGATTTAGGAATTTTCATGAACTTCTTTGAGCTCTGGAAGGAATTTAAATGTCCCTGTGTTATGCTTCTTCCCAAACGTAAGTTTGGAAATTCCTGAAATAGTGACGTCTGTGTGGCAGAAATATTCATGATGGTAATAAAGCAGTCAAGCTGAAAATCCAAGTTTCTTACATAAAACTGATCTAATTGGCAGGACAAACAAAGGCAATAATTGTAATAATATTCCTGTTTTAAGTAATTTTGGCATTGAAATTTTCTTTTGACAGTGGTTTATGACTTGGGGAAGTAGTTTGGATGAAGAGAGATGATCCTACTCTGTCTCTCAGTGGGCTGAATTTCAATGTACTATTACCTGAGAATTAGTTTTTCATAATTACGAAGTATTAGTGAGCCCATGATAAGTGGTTTGTTTTCTTTTTTTTTTCCAGTTCTTTCTGTGATAGAAATTTCTTAGTAAAATATAAGCAAAGGAAAATGAGAAACAAATGGTTGAGAGGACATTTATAATACCAATTGTAAGCCCTGATTTTACAAACACTCCTCTGAATGTGTCTTGTGTAAGGAGCAGGTCCTATTAGGGAACGTAAATTGTGCAATTGCGTAGAAAATCAGCAGAGTTGGTAAATCCTGAAGCAGTCATCCTGCTTTTTGTGTCCTATATTTCAAATCCTTGCTCTCTTGCAGCCAAGCCTGTGGTGTGCTTACATGTGCAGAGTGCTGAGCAGTAGCCTCATCTAAATAAAAAACTTGTGAAGTCAGCCTGCCATTAATAGTGATGTGATCTTATTATTAAATTTATTTTATTTTATTTTATTTTATTTTTCATTTGTATCATCCCACCAGTTATCAGAAGCAGTAATTAGTTGGTGGGGGGGGGGGGGATGTGAGGTGAACAGGATGGGGGAGAGGGAAACCTGGTAAACATAATTTTTTGCTGTTACAAAAGGTAGCTATTTCTGCTCCAGTTTACCTGTGAGCTACAACAAGACGTACCAATTTCAGTGCACAGCCTGAAGTAATCATTTTTTCTTTTTTTTGTAATGATTATTAGCTTGGGCTGAACATCACACAGAAGAAGTTCTGGTACAGGTGGAGGAAGTTTAGATCTCTCTGAATACCTTGAATTCAGGCTAATTATTTTTCATCTTTGTTGTCATTTTTTTGTGTAGCTTTTAGATTTTCAGAAATGCAAGATGATTTTTGTGTTCATTTAATAGCATTGTGTGCAGGAATTCCCCTAAAATGTGCTGTTTTGAATAACACCTGCATTATGCACACGTTGCTGAATTTTAACACAACTGGAGTAGCTTCTGCAAAAATAAGAGTTGTAAAATGAAGGCAGGTACTGGCCTTGAATAAATTCCAGCGTGCTGAGGAAACAAGGGAAAATCAAACCGAGGTTCAGAAAGAAAACAAGCGTTTGCCTGGGTTTTATGATATTTATATCAGCACAGGAAGGTGATCAGGTGCTGTCTGAAGCAGGAGGGATCCTTATGTTTGGATTATTGGAACTTGGGAGATTTTCTTGCTACGCAGCACAGCTCATGTGAGCAGCTCTGAGGTCTCCTGGGAGGGAGACGAATCCTCCAGCCACCGTGTTTACTTCCAGCAGGAGGAGGAAAAGGACATTTCTGGCTATTATTTGGATGTATTTTGTAAACTGAAAGCGCTGTTCATGCTCCCGAGCAGGGTGTAGTTGCTGTATCATTCTGCAGTGCCGTTCTCCACCCTTTTTTTTTTATTAATTTTAGCATAACTTCAGCGTTCGTCCATCAGCATCTTCTGGGTGTTGATGCCTCATCCGTAGCTGTTGGGAGATCATCCATCCTCATTTCCCGGCTTGGTGGCAGCGCTCCAGGATTGAGGAGCGGTGGGGATGAGGTTTTTCCCGTTGATAGGAGCAGGATTCCCGATGTGGGGAGCAGCAGGTGGATTTTGGCTCTGCGGGAGAAGCCTCTGGGGAGCGGCAGCGCTGCGGCGGAGGAGCTGCGTGTGCTCCCGGCAGATGTCGGCGCTGCCTGCCTTCCATGGAATACTCCTCTCCTTCCCGGCGCTTTTTCCAGCGTTGCCCTCTGCCGGAGGAAAACCGCAGCGCCGTGGATTTCACCCCTGGATGGAGTTCTTCCTTGGCAGATCCAGTTTCGACAGCCCACCTTCCTCCTGGAGCTGCTGTTCCAGGCAGAGTCCTGCTCTTCCTCCTCATCCCTGTACGTGAGCATCTTTCAGGGAAACCGGTTTGGATAAACGAAAGCCAAACACTGGATCCAGCATGATGGGATCAGCTGCTTCTCCAAAGGTTATTGTCCTGGAACCACAACTAATTCTGCCAGGGGGTAGTCCACCTTTCCCATAAAACAGCTTTTAATCTTTGGATTGTCAGCCCTGTCTGCTTTTGGTAGTCCAGACGCTTTTAAAACAATATTGAGCTAAAAAAAAAAAAATCAGTGTTTTGAATGTAAATACGCTTAAATTTGGTTTAATTTTTTTTGGTGTTAACACTATATGAAATAGTAATAAGGTTGGAGCAGTTAAATGTACAAAATTTCACTAATACTGCCCGTATCTGCTGTTCCGATCAGCCTGTACTATAGCACAGCTATATGTTGTGGGTTTTCTTTGTTTTGGTTTTGTTTTTGTTGGGGTTTTTTTTTAGGATTTTTTTGTTGTTATTTGTCTATTTTTTTTTGTTTTTTCTTTTTTTTTGTTACTGTTTGTTTTTTTGTGGTTTGTTTTATTCAGTTTATTTTTATTTATTAATAATAATAATTATTATTGGGGTTTTTTTTGGGGGTGAAATTTTATTTTCCTTTGTGCTTTTGTGACTTAGGAAAAGGCCTTCTTATCAGTTTTCAAGAAACTGCAGGTTTCATGCATTGCTGGTGTTGATGTTAACAGGAGTTAAGCAGGGCAGAGCTCAGCTGTACTGTTTCAGTGGGATTTGAGTGGGGACCTCTGTTCCCCAAGTCCTTGTTAATGGAAGTGCTGACATTCACGGGCAAGTCCTCGCTGAATATTGGAGACAAAAAAGGCAGAGATGGTGACTGTGGAGAAGTAACCAGGAATTGTGAGCTGAAATGCTATTTATTGAATAAAACCGAATTCCTCAAAAGCAGTATTACTTCAGCAGTGTATGAGTCACATCTATAAGCAGCAATAATTTGTACTGGAGCCCAAAATTGTGTAATACAGTGGGGGGAAAAAGCTGGTAGGGACATTTGATAAGTTCACCCAGGCCTCCAGCGTTGTGCTGGGAGAGCAGCATCGGTCAGAGCACTCTTTCAATTACAGAAGCGTGGAAAATAGATCCTCATTGTGCAGCATGGATGGCAGGATCCAGCCCTTCACTCCTGCAAGCAGATGTGCAGTATGATTCCTGCAGCAGATTTCAGGCTCCGAATTGGAGCTCTCACTGCTCCGTTTCTCAGCTTTTTTGTGCCCTTCCCCCTTTCCAGGATATAGTGCAATCACTGGTCGTTTAAAGACTACTGGTTTCAAAAACAAGCCTGGTAGCCTTTTCCTGTGAAGCAAATTTTGTGTTCCTGTGGGTACAGTTACTCTGAGAAGGTTTATGGAAGATTATTCTCCTGGTTGCCTGGATCAGGTAAATACTATAAACATAATTTGTCATGTCTAATGTTTTCCTGGTCAAGTTCTCTGTAGGCTATATCTAGTTGTATTAATCAGTTTTGTTGATGTTCTCTTTTGCAATTACAAAGTAATCCTATATCTTTTGCAATTACAAAGTACTCCTATATCATGAATAGGTTTAATTCTGTTCCAGATGCTATGGGCTGATAAAGTGCTAATGGGTCTTCTGGCAGTTTCTTGTGAGATCAGTTTCCATGAAAAAAATGTATTTACCCAAAGTAAAGTAAAAAAAAAAAAAATATGCTTTAAAGCACAGGTTTGTGGTGTGCATACAATTCCTGGTAGACAAGGATTGTAATTTGTTTGTTTTTTTTTTTTTATAATTCTGCTACTTTAGAAAAATCTCCCTGACCAGATGAAAACTGTTAGCTCTGAGACTTTCAAATGCAGTCTCTTTGGTACCTGTGTCAGCATTAATTATTGTATAGCTCTGATGTTACGTATAAAGTGACACCTCTTCTGGCCTGCAACATTTTTCCTGGGCAAACTATGCTTGGCTTATTTAGTTTTCATATTTGATACATAAATCTTTGTGAAGATCTTAAACAATGTTGTTCAGCTGTTCATTGTTCTTCCTGGTAACGTGGACAGATACGCATCATGTTTTTGAAAGAGCTTGCAATGATTCTTTCCCAGTTCACGACTTTTCCCTTGAAATGTTCCTTCATGGTTGTGCCTGCAGTCAGTGTCCATCCTAGGTCTTGTTTTCAGGCTGCTGCTGCCTTGCAGGAAACAAAAATGAGATGACTAAGTCTGTGCTTTCCCTGCAAGTGGCATTCGTGATTTGTCTGTTTTCTTCAGTTGTTTTTCTGCTTTTCCTGCAGCAGAAGGAGACTTTGCCTCATTCCTGAGTGCTGGGTTATCTTTGTGGTTTGTTGATTCTGGATATGCAAAGAAAGAATCTGCAAGAGCAGAAATTCCAGCAGGGAAGGACAGCAGCAGGGAGGTTCTCTCTTCATCCAGTCACAGTCAGACTCCTAAGATCAGCTTTCCATCCTGATGTGTGTTTTGTTCCCTTCTGCCCATCACTGCCACCAGGTACCCAAAGCACAGGGATGGGCAAAACCCATCCTAGGCTCTCAGCACTGCTTAAAGCAATGTTCCCTTGGATTGCAGCAGTGTGGTTCATAACTTAAGAGGTTTCTGGAGTTAGGAATGGGATTGTGGAGTCCTAAAATGGTTTTGGTTGCAAGGGACTTCAAAGATCATCCAGTGCCACCCCCTGCCACAGGCAGGGACATCTTCCACTATCCCAGGTTGCTCCAAGCCCCATCCAGCCTGGCTTTGGACACTTCCAGGGACCCAGGGGCCACCACAGCTTCTCTGGGCAGCCTGTGCCAGGGCTTCCCCCCACCTCACAGGGAAGAATTTCTTCCTATGAAATAATCCTTCCAGTTTTTTTCTCTAGGTCAGGGCCTGTAAGTAGGTGATTTCCCATCCTGTGGTTCTAAGTTATGTTTTCCTGGCATCTCCACTGTGTGTGCTAGATGGATAAAGGTTTTCAGCGTACTTGATTATAAGAATGATTTTCTAGCAGCCTTTCTTGCATAACTGACTACAGAATGAATTTCCCTGCTAGCATTTAGTTTAAAATGGATGAAGATTATAAATACATGTTTTTTCAGCTAATCTTGCTCAGCTGACCTCTGTACTTCTACATTCTGTGTCTCTCAAGGGTTCTGTTAAATAATATTTATATTAATAGTACCATCTACTGCTGAATCCCTCCTGTGGTTTATAAGAGCATATTTAAGTATTACATTATGTTAACCAGCTTCACTGGTAGCTCAGAATTCAAGCTGTTTGTATTTGCAGTTCTGCTGATAAGTCCTTCATCTCCTGTGTGTTGTAAATAAGATTTGGACCTGTAGAGAAGGAGGCCTGGGCAGGAGGGGCTGGGATTCTCCAGCCCTGCAGGGAAAGGGGATGTCCAAAGATGCATCCACAGCCACCTTTGCTCCTGGGGAATTTGGGGTGCATGGGTCAGTGTCACCAGCACCAAGGGCACAGCAGAGGAGGTAGGGAGGGGATTCTCTGTGAGAATCTGTGATGTCTGTGAGCATCAGTTCTGGAAGTGCAGAAACACAGAAACCTCAGCTGGGTAAGATTTAAAAGTCAGAGACTGTGAGGAAGAGACAAGTGGCTAATAACATAGGGGGACCAGAGTAGAATCATAAAATCATTCAGGTTGTAAAGGACCTTTAAGATTGAGTCCAGCCATTAGCCAGTGCTGCCAAGTCCACAGCTTAATATAAAAAGTCAAACAAAACTGCTTCCTCTGTACACAAAAATCAAATTTGAAGAGTTCATTGAGCTTCTCTATATTATATCTGCTTATTACTAATTCATGTTCCTAATACATATTATTAGGCACTTTTGCTAACTTTAGGAGCCTATCAACTGACTTTTATGAACTCTGTGCTACATTATTATATAATTATAATATTATATTACCTACCTCTTGGTGGGGAAGATACCTGTGTGTCCATCTGGGAAGATGTCATCTCGTGCTCAGCTCCAAGACAAGGCAGCAGTTCTGAGGCTCCCACCTTTGCTGTCTCATCTTCCTACATGTTGGGTTTCTACTGGGATCTTCCATTTCCCTTCCAACTGGCTGTGCTTCCTGTTGATTTGCTTATTGCTCTTCCTAATGAGTGCTTGTGTAAACACAGAAGGGTTGGGTGCCTTTTATTGAAAGAAACTTGGAACTGTTGGAGGAATTAACTCCAGGGATGTCAAATGCCTGGAGCTGTGGTGCAGAAGTTAGTGCAGGAATAATGCATGGATCTTAAATTTAGATTTCATGGAAAGATATGTCTTTGTGTTACCACTAGATTAATGTGTTGGCCCGGGATAATACTGGCTTTTGAAGAGCTTATCTTAAAATGTTTAAAAATCTGTTCTTGTGTTTTACCATAAACTGATGTGGTCCAGCAGTCATCTGGCTCACATACTGGAAATATTTTGTTTTTCTTTTAACATGACTCATTACCATGCATTTGTAACTATGGTTCTTTTCTCTTAAAGGATTTGTTCTGCCCTTTAATTATCATGTTTTGGGGCATTCAGGTTTGACTTATTACCAACATAGAAATTCCTCCAGGGACTTCTAGCTTCCAAATAAATGTTATAGGCTGTTTGCCCGTAAAATTAGCAGTCCTTATTACTTCTCCGTTAGTCTAAATTAGATCTTCAGTGAGGTTATGTTGCCCTAGTGCATGTGTGAATCTTACAACTTATTTAGGGTGTCAAAAATACTGCTTTTGATGTGTTTGGGGAAGTTCAGCTGCTGGAGGTGCTCTCGCTTGCTCAGTAGCAGTGGTGTGTGTTTGTACTGATGAAATAACAAGTGAACTATTGTGGCAGTTGTTATTACTGATCATTTGGACTTGAAAAAACATGAAGAAGCATTGTCCATGTATTCCTGTTCTCAATAAGGTGTTCCATTAATAGCTAGTGGCCATTTCCCTTCTTCTGTATTATTAGGTATGTTCTGGTTTCTCTTAAGACTTTTTTTTTTTTTTTTCAGTCATAGAATTAGAATATCTGTTTTTCTTTGCTTCCTGAAGGATGATCTTGCAGTTCCTGTTAATTTTTTTTTAATTGCTGAAGGGGTTATTTTAAATAACAGATCTTTTGATTGAGTCAGTTTTGTTCATTATTTCTTCAGTATTGGACAATTCTCTTTCCTTACCTTGGTTTCTTGTCTAAGATACTTATTGCTGATGGTGTTGGTGATATTCCTGCAGAATTAATGCTAACTGCTAGTAAGAATATTGAACTGGAAATGGTTTCCTAGGAGTCTAAGTCTTGTCACTTGATATAGGAAGCCTGATGTTGTATAATTGCTATATAATTTGTACTTTAAAATAATCAAACTCCATCTTAAGGACAGTTTGTTTTTACTTCCATTATTGGAATTAGAAGAAAGATTACAATTTTCAGAGCACCCAGGATCTTAAAAGTCATCAAATTGCCAGCCTAACATTTTGAAGAGCCATTTCATGCTCACTTTTTAATGATAATTGCAGAGTTTGCCTTATACCTCTTTACTTGTGTTTATAGCTCTAATGCTTTTATGACCAGGAACTATATCAGTTACTACCTCTTTGGTCAGGTAAGCAAACAAAGCCTCTAGTCTACATTCAGTATTGAATTTTCCATTCTCCTGACCGCCCCAAACTGTGCCTGCTCTGCATTCTTGGCTCAGCTCAGAGCTGGCGTTGCACCTTGGTTTGCCTGCAGCCAGAACACTTAAACCAGCATGGGACACAGTGTCCCTCCCTGAGGATCTCTGTATTCCTCCAGGAGGTCTGTGGTGAGTTCAGCTTGCTTTGCTGGGCTCTGACGTGCACTTGGAATGGTTCATCAAAGCACAAACATGATTTAAGGAACTGTTCTTAATCGTGTTGCTGTTGTTTGCTGCAGCTGAGGCTGCACGAAATGAGTGCTCGGCTCGCCCTCCATTTCCTGCCTCACAAACCTCATGGTCCTGCCTTTCATTTTGGAGCTGTGTTGTTTCAAGCATTGAATGCTTGAACACAAAGCATGGATGGAGCAGAGGATGGCAGAGCAGAGGCTTGTCCAGGCTGGGATTCATCAATTCTGGCAGCAAGAACCAGCAGCCACTGTCCTGTGACTGCTGACACTGATCTTGGCTGAGGAATCAGCATTTCGGGTCTAAGCCTATGGCTAGTGGTCAGACAATGTCCTTTTTTCTTTGAGTTTTTGTTTTTGGTCCTCCTAAACTTGCAGTGAAATGGGCCAGGTAAATCTGCCAAGCACAGAACTTGCAGTTGCAAGGCAGAGCTTAACCATCTGCTGCCATTCCTGCTACCTCAGACCACCTTTCTTTCCATGCTCCAGAGGGAATCCAGTTCCCTTAAGCAGGGCACGCACAGTAATTAGGTGAATTTTCCAGGCAGCCATAAATTGGGGTCAGGGTTGCTTTATTTAGCAGGTGTGTCACTCTGATGATCCATGGTCACTTAGTAATGGGCTAGGATTTTTCCTCCTTCAGAGTTTCCAAATTAAGGAGCTGTTCACCTGGTGGGAATATGTATTTTACCCAGGTATATGACTGCACATCTGCTGCTATTGAAATTCATCCCACTTCTATTATTTAAGTCTATTTTTTAAGTACTTTTTGTACATTCTCCTGGTTCTCCTTTCCTAACTCAGTTTTATCAAAAGCCATAAACAAAAGCCAGGATTACTAGTGGGGGAAAAACGCTCCAAAACTTAGCCCAACCTGGCAAATTTATAATTCTCAGCATCTACACATGTCCACCAAGACCACAACTAGTTACATGTGAAGAACTTAGTACAGCCCATGTGTTGAAAATACTTGTTTTTTTTTTCATGTTCTCTTCTAGCAAGACTTAAAAGATGTCCCAGGATATATGGGTGGATTTAAAAAGCAGATTGTGAGGTCTTCTTGGGGGCGTTGCAGTCACTTGGAAATATCCTGCTCAGCAAGGTAAACCAGAGATCTTGTATATTTTTGAATGGAGAAATGTGGAACGTTCTTCCAATCAGTGATAGAAGAGCTCGTAAGAGAATGGTTACATTTTTGTGTGATTTGGGTAGGAATAATGAAGGCTTTAAATCCACATACTTGGCTAAGTTCATTAAAAAAGAAACCACATAAAGAATGGAGAAAGGATTAAACCTGTTTCAAAAGATGAGAAGATAAATAGAACCTGAAAGCCACTCTAACACGTCAAACAATGATAAATAAATATTAAACAGTCTTCAGTCAATTCAAATCAGAAAAAGAATGGAAAAGCATAGCTCTCATTGCAGGTGATGACATTTAACAGTTGCTTCCATCCTTTGTAAGGATGAGGAAAGGCATGATAATTAATGAACATGATGGTTTAGAAGGTGGCTAAGAGGTAGGGACAGATAGTTTTGGAAGGGAAGGAAAAGGGTGGGTTGGTAGAAAATACATGGATTTTCTAGTACATGGTTGGCATGGCTGTGAGGGGTCACATCATCTGCCTGTTGGGGCTTAGAGATAATATTCAAAATGTAAGAAAATTGTTGTAAGGTTGTGATATTACAGATATTTGTGTTTCATTGCTTGGATATGGCAGGAGTGTTGCATTGGTCTCTATTTTTAGACCTGTAAAAACCTGATTCCTTTGATCTGCAGTTTTCATTGTTGGGTGGCATTGAGTGAACAGTGGACACGCTAAAAGAAAGAGGCAGTGAGAAAATGCTGCTCTTTTTCATGTTGTAATTGTGTGGTGTTTACATGAAGCTGTGAGGTCACTGGCTTCCGGTACGAGCCGCTTCCTGAAAACCTTCTACATGGTACATCTATAAATGTACTTCTTAGAAAAACTCAGCTGATTTTTGGTTTTCCTTCTCGTGCTGCTGCCTGACCACCTGACTTTTGTTTCTACTCCAGAATTTGTGTAGCAGTGCAGCATAGTGATCCCTTGGAATGGAGGGTGATGCTGCAGGAGGCACAGGATGTGCTGGAGAAGGTACCACAGAGAAATTGGGTTCACAAAACCCAAAGCAGGCAGTGGGAGCATGGAAACAAACACACAGTCTGACACCGAGAAAGTATTGATAATCTCAGGCTTTAGCAAACTGTGAGTCATACATTGACAGGTGATACAGTCAGGTTTGAAATAACGAGGTAAAACCAGCATCAGCAAAATTGCTCCATGTTCCTATTTTCCTGTTGGGTTTCAAGTACGTAAAAAGCCATTAGTTACTTGCAAAACCTGTTGAAATGAAGTAATTTTATTTTTTTACTGCAAGGTTCTCATGTTGTAAGTGGCTTCTAAACTTCAATGTTTGGGAATCATGGCATCATTAGGCTTGGGAAAGCCCTCTAAGATCACGAAGCACAACCATTCCCTCATCACATCCCCAAATGCCACATCTTCATGTCCTTTCAACCCCTGCATGGATGGGGACTGTCCTAATCCCTAGCAACCCTTTTGGTGAAGAAATTTTCCATAATATCCAACCTAAACCTCCCCTGGTGGAGCTTGGAGCAGTTTCTTCCTGTCCTGTCTCTTGTTGTTCAGGAGATGGAAGTAGCCATCAAATTTCTGTAAGACATGAAGGATTTGGCAATAATAAAAAAAACCCCGAGCACATATATATGTGTGTGTGATAGAGAAAACATGCAGGCAAGGTTTATTGCTCGTCACATAGAACACAGTTTTGGGTTGTATGACATTTATAATGTAAAAGAGATTATTCCAACCAAAATGCGTTCTTTGAAGTGAAATATGGTCCTCGTAGAGCAATATATAAATGAACTTAACTGTGGCAGGTCAGCATGTGTGGGAACCAGGAAAGCTGAAAAGAATGTCTGTTGGAAGAATTAGAATTCTAAAGTAGTTTTAATAGAGTTATGTCTGTGTTTTTAAATTTTTTAACCAGATTAGATGAATTGAAATATTTCAAATGTGTATGTATTTTAAAAATATAACAGTATAATCCTAAAATGCCTGGATGAAATATTTGAGTTGAATATTTTTTTCTATTTTGTGGGGATTTTTTTCTTCATATTAATTAGCTAAAATACTACTTAAGGCTAGTACCTAACCTAGCAAAGACTAGCTAGAATACCTTTAAAGGAGTGCTTTTATTTATAAATTATCTCAGTGTTGCAGTATATGAAAATACAGACATTCTGCTGTGAAAATGAGTGTTTTAACATTATGTGTCAGTTTGAAGGTTGAAGATAAATGTGAATTTCTGGGTTTAGTAATACATTCATTCATTTCAAATCAGGTTATTTTGTTTGATGACCATGCACAATATACTGAAACTTACTAGACTTCACAGAAGTAATTACAATGGGAAATTCTTGAATACAAATTATTCTTAAATTTACAAGCACTTTTAACAATACTGTGGTTTTAGCCAGTCATCATGCTGTTTTATAACAGCTGTAAACTTATTTCCAGCATGACATGCTGCTTGTCGACCTAAAGTTGGCAACATTCCTGTGAATTTCCATGGTAATTTTATTGGTAATTAGCATTTGTCAATAGCTTTGTGTGTCATAACCCTTACATGTCCCAAACCTCTTCTGTCTGTATAGCAGTGAGATTCCTAAAATTCAGCTTTGTGGCTTTTGTCACCCCTGTAGGAAGAACCAGGGGTTTAAATTCCCTCAGTGTGATGATGTTCACTGTTCTGTTGATACTGTGTTTTTTTCCTCTCATTGTCTGGGTTTTAAACTTGTAGCTGTGGCACCAGCATCCTCATTTTCTGGTGTGTTTCTTCTTTTATCCTGGGTCTTAGGGAGGATGTAGTGTGGTCGTAAGAATTTCAGGTTTTCCCAAAATGTTATACTTGCTTGAGGTCCGGGTGAACTTTCACTTCAGTCTGGTAGAGCCCTTGGTGATTTCTGCATTTCTCTGTAGGTTGAGAAATAATCTGGGAATATACCTTTAATTGCTTTTTGTCATTTCTCAGGTGAGTGCATGATCACCTGACAGGTGGAAAAAAAACCTCAGGTAAAATGTTTTGGACAAAAATGCAATAACCTCTGATGGAAAAGGGTTCAGATAAAGTGACCTGAACCCTTTGGCCTGCAGAGCTGTAGTTCAGCTGCATTGTAGAAATGAAGTTCATGTATCTTTAGTAGTGATCACACTGGAGGAACATTTGGGTTTATTCATCTTTTAAAAGTTCCATCTTTTTTGGTGAAACTGGGATATAGACTTAGCTGAAAATTGTGTTGGAGTAATTTAGTTTTCTATGTTGCTTAGAATCCTAAACCTTGAAGTGCTTTGCCCTTTGTGTGTTCTTCTGAAACATTAAGTTGTTCTATTTGGTTTTACATTTGCTATGCAGTAGTTACTAGATATCTTTGCATCTTGATTTTATCTCCAGTGAATCCCTAGTGCTGAGCTTGTGGGAGCTTTATTTGGGTGAGTAACAGTGAGCAGTATGTGGCTTGACGGCTGGAATTTCCCAAAATCAAAGTGAAATGAAGGAAATTAAGAGTTAAAGCAAGGACAGGAGCTTGCAGCAGCGGATCAGTGCAGTTTCAGATAGTTATCACTAGGAGGACACACAGACCGTGGTATTAAGGAACTAATTGTTTATCTTTTCCTATTAACCGGTTTGGTGCTGAAAAATTTTGTCTTGAATGGGTGCCATATAGTAATGTGTTAATTTAGTAATGTGTTAATTAAGATACTTGATTTTACTAGAAATTAAAAGAGAGGCTTGTGTAAATGGACAAAACCAGAGTGTGATGACATGAGGAAATCTCCCGGGGATTTCTTTGTTGGTGAAGCAGAGCACAGATTGTGGAGGGTGTTCGTCCACCAGAAATAGGTGACATTTAGGTAGAAGTGATCCCTTTTTCTTACCATATACTTTACAGCTTGTGTTGCAAGGAATTCCTTACACTTTTCTGTGAAATGTTTGTGGTGTTTCCTGCTGGTCAGGACGCTGAGTGAGTTGGATCAGTGGCTGGGATTTGATGTGGTGTTGGCTGTAATCTTCATTTAATCTGTTTGTGGTGTTTCCAAGTGTTTGCAAATAGCTTTTCTTTTACTTGTCTATATGTGTTTACTTAGATTCTGATGTGCAGTGTCTGTGTCAGGTTGAGTAATATGGAAATTAGTCTAATTGATTTAAATAGTTTGTAGACTGCCCATGTTGCTGAGGCAAGCTGTTACCTAATAAAGACTTTGGAATCTGACTCTTTCTGTATAGAATGATTATTGATATCACACATGCAGACAAAGATGATAACTGAAGCATATGCTTCAAATAAAATGACACGAGAAAATGAAAAATGGTTTCAGATTTGAAGTTACTGAAGGATGCACAGAAATAACACCAGATGGAGAGAAAGAGAAACTAAGAGATTATTAATAAGTGTGGTGCGTTGAAGTGGTATAGAATAGAATCCTACAGGCTTTCAGTGTATAAATCTTGTTGTTACTTTGGTACTAGTTTCTGTGATGTGTAAAAGTGAAAATGCATCATTTCACTCCTCCAAATTAATACTCCCTGAGGCTACAAAAAGTAGCACAAGCCAGTTCAAAGTCACTTTTGAAAACATACTAATAGTTTTTGGTAGATGGTCAAGATTGAACTACATCTTCCTAAAAAATAGTATTTCTGGAATTAATGTGATTTTATATCTCTGGCTTCATAAACTGTCTCTGGGAGACATTTTCCTCAATATTGAAACTTGTTTCTGTAGTTCAATGTTGTTAGACTAAAAAGCAAACCACTGAATCTTCCTTTGATAAAACCCATGGTCTGGAACTGTTGCATAGTTGTTTTGTCAGAATTTCTATTTGGGAGCATGCTGGTTCACCTTCTTCTCAGTCTCTGTGTCTAACACAGTTTAGTTTTTCACACATTTCTTTCATCTTTGCAGCAAATCCTGCATTTTACTTTTCCTGCAGGCTACAGTTCCTGTCCATCCATTTGTATTCCCATCAGTTCAGTTGACTTTATCATTTTTCATGGAATCAGTCTTCGCCTTCTAATAAACACTTGTTGTTCTGTGTGAGACCCTCAGCTGTTGGAAAACAAGGATCCAGCCTGGTTCCAAACTTTGGAGTTGAGTATTTGTTTTGACTCTGTGGGCAAGACTGGGCACTCAGCAGGTCTTGAGCTTCAGCCTCTTGAGTCAATTAATGCTTCATCATTTGAGTTAAATTGTCAAGGTTTGTCAAGGCACTGTTTTATTTTCTGACCCTGCACAGATTTTCTGTATTTTGCAGAACTTTCTAGAAGTCTGGAGTAGGGCCTGACTCAGCAAAGTAGTTCAAGGTCTTTTTATTTATTGCAGAAGTTTTACTGACTGAGACTTCTCAGTCTGTCTTTATGATTTTTAAAAAAGGCCTTTTAATCACTCATCCTAAAAATAGCCTGGAATAGTCTAAACAGTAATTGATGTATGAACAGAAACACTGTGTGATGTCAATAGAGGTCTGCACTGGTTTTCTAAATGATCTAATTTGAATTTTGTAAAATTCTGAGCATGGAAGGGGAAGATGAGACCTCGCATTACTACCCAGAGGAAAGATGAGGATCCTTTTTTTTTTTTTTTTTTGTTAAGAGAATGAGGTTGAAGCTGCAACAATGAATTGTAGAATGTTAAAAATAAGAGTTGGATTTTGTTGGTGAGGTTTTGTTGGGTTTGGGGTTTTTTACCCAAAAGTTGGGTGAAATGCTCTGTACTGAGGAGTTACAGTAGGTTGCTGGAACGAGGCAAGTTGATCTCAGGATGAATAAATATTAAATACATTTCTTCTTCATACTAGGGAATAGTTGAAGGTACTGTCAGGGTGTTAACACAGGGAGTAATTATAGTACCATGGAATATTTGCAAGTGTTGTAGGAAAGCAGGCTTTGGATTATTCAGACCCTTTAAATTAAAAATTGCTTTGTAAGTTTATATTCAGTTACACACATCAATTTGATCAGGTTTTTGTTTTACAGCAGAGATTCTTAACCTTGGACCAAAAGCGAGTCCTGTGGAAGTCATTCAAGGCGGCGCGTGAAGATAATCATTCAGATTTTGAGAGCAGTGAAAACTGATCAATACCGAATTCTTGTTCTGGGATGTCGGAATCTGTGGGTATTGGTGATTTTGAGATTGTAGAAAGTCTCTGTCTTTCTGCCCCGCTGCCAAAGCAGAAGCCATAATTGGTCTGTGCTGGTTTCAAGGTTGTTTATTCTGTTTATCTCTAACATGTTCTGCTGCCCTGCCACAGCTCTGTCCTGCAGGGCAGTGTGTGGGGCTCTGCCCTCAGTGGGATGTCACAAACATTAAATACCAGAAACTACCTGTGCTGGATTTACAATAACGTGCCAATATCTGTCACCTACGTTGGACAGTGTGTCCCCAGCCTAAACCAACAGAAAAATGCCAACACCACAGTGAAACATGGAGGGCATGAAGAAGGAGGAAAAGGACACAACACACCCAATTCCTCCATCTTGTCCCCTCTGAACCCCTAATCTAGAAACTTAAAATTTTACTTTTGCACCCGTGTCACACTTAATTATTACTCTTATCAAACACTCAAAGCTTGTAATTCATCCTGTAAGATTGAAAACTCTTTTCCATGGACAGAGATCACAGCCAGTGTCTCTGGGGGCTCTGTCCAGGGGGGTTCCTGACCCCTGTCAGGGTCCCAGACCTGCCAGAGGGAATCCCTGGATTCTCACACTGGGAGTAGCAGCAAATGAAATCCTCATAAACCCAGCAGTGAGACTGAGGGATGGGCAGCTGGGGCAGCAGGAGCAGGGCAGGATGGAGAGGGGCACACACTTCAAAAGGAGCAGTGCAGATGGTACCACTGTGAGTGTTGGTGTTTGTAGCGTAGCACGTGAGGATCCTGTGTGCATTTACCACTAGGAGTGTACTCACACGTGAAATCCTAATTTCTGCAGCGTTCAGGCTCTGCTACGACACATTTGCCAGACTTGGCATTTTGCAGCCCCGTGAGGTGTTGCAAGGAGCAGATCAGGGATGAATGAAGCAGCTTTCTGCCTTCATCTTCCCAGGTGCATCTTGTGAGATGGGGGAGAGGAATTGCTGAGCAGAGGCAGGGGCTGAGGAAGTTCAGACCTGCTGAAATAGAGCGTTGCTATAGATCAGCTTTTCTCAGCTGCTTGCCAGAACTGCAGTGCTTTTCCCAAGTTGTTGTAGGTTTATTTCCAGAATATACCAAGCATGAAGCATCTATTTTGCTCTAATCAGAAGACAAAAAATATCCTCCGCTAATGGGGAAGGCTTTCCTTGTCTCCACAAGTCTTCAGGATTTTTATGCTGTTATTTCAGTGAATAATCAGATTTGGTACTTGTTTGCCTTTGTGTAGAAGTGCATTAGTGCTGGTGAAAAACTCTGTGTTTGAAACACTGTACTGGCATCTTTTACATGGTAAAGGCGGACAGAATCAGATCCCATTATTGTCGTGTGATTTGTTGTAGTTCCTCTGTAATGATTGCCAATTTCTGCTAGTATAAACCTAAAAGTAAGCAACCAGTTTTGCATAACTAACAAAATTTTCAAGAAATCATCTGCATTTGCATTTCTGAAAATTCTAAGGATAAAGCAGAAATTCTAGAACTGATTTTATCATCATAACAATCAAAGGTTACGTCAACTGTTCTCCAATAGGACATGTCTTCATTTTGCTGTACTCAATATTTGATATTTTTTACCCTCCTGCTTTACATTAAAATCTTTTTGTCCTTTTTAGTTTCCACCCTTTAGCCTATATTTTTAAAATGAATAATGGTTTTAGTTGCTAAGTGGATTTTCTGATTTCAAGTGCCACAGGTGGCAGCAGTATTGGGGTGCTGTGTGAGCTTGGGAATGACAAAGAACTCTACGTTTTGTGGTTGTCAATGTTAGAACATAATCTTTTGTTTTGACCTGAAGGATTTGTTTTAACAGTAAAACAGTTTCTGTGTCTGTCGTGTCTGTATTGTCATGTAAATAGTTCTGGGAGCTGCAGCAGAGAAGTTCATGTTCTCAGGGGCTTTACCCAAATCCATCTGTTGAGCAGTTTGGATGGAGATGCAGGGTGCAGGAGTCACACAGAGTGCCTTGGGTGGCAGAGGAGTGTTTTTACACTTGTTTATTTAGCTGTCTTACGGGAAATAGATGCTGCAGCCCAGTGGAGTTGGCTTATTGAAGATGAAAGGTAATTGAACCAACATGGGATTAAATAAGGCTTTTCCATCTCTCCATGTGACCTGTCTTAGCAGCTTTTAACCAAACAGTGGAAAAGTACAGAGTGTGTCCGTGGCCATTTGGCAGTCAGTTCCTCCAGACACAATTTCCAGGGCCTTCAGTTGTTCCCTTCATTTGCTTTAGTCAGTTTGTTGAATTTGATAACAATATTTGATGTTATTTGATAACATATTCTTCAAGTTTGGATCGAAACAGAGAGTGGCAGAGCAGAGAAGAATGAAGTAAGGTATACACCCTGTATAATGTGAATTGAGTAGAAATAAAGAAATAAATCACTTAAATTCTTGTGTACAGATGGTGGCTGAGGTCTGCTCAGTGCACAAGGGCTGGTCAAGTTTGTTTTTTTTTTTCCCCAACAGAAACAGTGGAAATTGATATCCAGAGAGAGTTTCCCAACTCCATTTATTCTCAATTATCTTGGAGCTGTTGGCCATTAAGTGTAAAGCTTGCTCACCCTGCTTTAACTACAGAACTGATAAATTCCAATGGAATTATGGCTCTGTGTTTCAGAAGATTTCTTGGGAGAGGAAGATGACTGATATAAATGGATCTGAACAGGAAAGGAAGGATGTTATTCTTGGTATTGTTCATGGTGTTTACCTCTTCTGTGGAATACAGATGAATCAGTAAGAGGAATGACAAACTAGGAGGCTCAAGAGTGCAGTGATCAGACCTGATAGTGCTTGCTTAAGGAATCAAACCCCTTGCTGACACCAGGTCTACATCAGTGAAGTACATGTTAAAACAGCCCAGGAGCTTTCCTGGATCTCAATGTGGCAAAGACTTAATAATAGGTAATTTTATTTCTTGGTTAGAAAACTTAGGAGTTTATTAATATTTTATTTTATTATTTTATTTTATTTTTAAAGAAAGCATTGAGTTTGCTGGGTATATTTTAGTGGGTTTTTATTTTTTGTTCTGTTTTGGTTTTCTAACCAATAGGTGCTTCAATCTTGCACGTGCATGTGGGTAACAATATTGTCTAATTATAAGACATAGGTCACTGACTGACTAAAAATGAGGTGAGGGGAGCTGCTCTATATTGTGAAGGAGAGAAATTGTG